AATAGTAAAAAAATATCTGTTCTACTAAAAATGGTTCGTATCATTTAAATAAATTTTGGGTTTTCGTACCTGTGAATATAGTCAATGACTTGGGAAAGTTGGAGATATATTTCAAATAGGGAGTAGAAAATTTAAAAAATATTGCAAAAAATGATTAAAATTATTATAAAAGCTTCAAAAGTATCAAAGAGAAATATGTTTTAAAGTTTAAGTATTGTTAAAAAATTGAAAAGGTTGAAAATTGTGTTGACTGATCGAGAGATGAGCATTTAAGAAATGGCTTCTTGGTCGAATATTTTTTAATGTTTGGGGCAATTTTCCAGTGTGGTCGAATTATTTATTGATTTTTTGACAAGTGGGTTGAGTTTTTGTGAAAAGTTGTTTGGGGCGAATTTTATGGTGTTCGGGAGGTCTTCTTTTACTTTATTTTTATTTGTCGGGTGATCTGGGGTATTTTTGAGATTTTTGTACTTCAGGCTAAATTTATATGGTCGTATTTTCACTTTAGGCTAATTTAACATTTTTGTTTGGGGGGTTTTTGAGGTCTGAGTTGGGAAAATATTGTTGATCTTTGCGTTATTTGATAAGGGAGGGTTATGATATTGTGGTGGTATTTATTTTAGTTGTCAAGTTTGAGTGGTTTGCTTATTTTTGACCTGGAGGTTGTAAAGTTATAGTTATAGATATGCCTGGAGTTTAATATTTGTCGTCTAATTGGTTTGTGCTAGAGTTATAGAAGGTGACGGATTGAATGAATCCTATTGGCTAATTTTGAACTAGAATCTCTGCGTGTTTGCAGCATGTTATTTTGAAAAATGAAAGTTCAAAATGTTTCAGAGGTGTAAATATTATTAATTTTAAAATTAAAGCTGTTTTTGAAATTCAACTTTCTTTAATATTTTAGATTGTGGGATGAATGTTTTGTAGTTTTTACGTGGTTGATTTCTAAGTCGTGATGACTCTCTGTGTTCTGATTTCTCGACTTGTTCTTGGGGTATAATTTTTTCTATCATTTTTCTGTTTTTTCTTTCTTTTTGAGGTATTTTTTGATCTAGCTTTTTTGTATTGTTTTGGTTTGTAGTTGGTTTTTTATTTTGTTTTTCAAGGTGAATGTCATTTTGTTCATTTATTTCATTTTCCGTACGTGGGTGATTTTGAATAACTTTTAAACCTGTGAAAGAATATAATTGAGTTAGTTCGCGTAGTGCGTATTCTTTTGGGTAGTAAGGCAATAGATTGTTTCTATGTTGAACAATTTCTTTTTGGTCTGAATCGGTGATTTTATATGTTACGTCAGTGGGTTTGGCGATTATTTGGTATGGTCCTTTACGAAGGGGTTGTACTTTTTTAGAAAATCCTTTTTGTGTATTAAAATTAGGTATTAAGACAAATGTTCCAATTTTTAAATCTGAGGCTGGTGTGAAGCGTGAATTTATTTGTTCGTTAATGTTTTGCCTTTGTAACAATTTTTTTGTTACTCTTTGGTAAATTTCATTGTGTTTTTTATCTCTATTTAAAATCCATTCGGTGTGTGTACCGGAGGCTAATTTAAGGATTTGTGGGTGATGAAAATGATCTTCATCATGCGTGTGTAAAGGTAGATTATAACAAACTGAGTCTTTATTCGGTTGGCAATGACCTTGTGCATTTTTATGAGAGTTTGCTGTAAACATAATTGGTTTACGTGGCTTTTTATTAAAAACCATTTCGTATGGTGACATTCCTAGAGTTGTCGTAATTTGTGAATTATATGCTAAGGGAAATAATTTTACATCTGCTGACCATTCTGTGTATCTTGTATCATTTCCATTGATAATACATCCTAAGATATTCTTGTAGTGAATGGTTCATACCTTCGACTAGACCGTTTGTCCAAGGTGCATGAGATGTACGCGGTTTGTGCTTAGTGTTATATAAATGACATAGTGTGATGATTTCATTATTTATGAATTCTGTACCGTTGTCTGTAACTAAAATTTCGGGTAATCCGAATTTGGCTATCCAGTGTTCATAAAGTGTTGTGTAAGCATAATAAGCGTTACAATGTGGTACTGGGTTGAGTGCTACATAATGTGTAAATGCGTCAACAATTACCATAATGTAGGAGTTTCCTTGAGAGGATGGTGAAATTGGTCCTTTTGTATCGAATGAAATACGGTGGTTAAAATATAAACTTTGTCCTTTAAAATCTTGTTTTTGTGCTATTTGTTTTTGATTTGGATAAGGTTTATTTAGCTGACATACTCGCAATCATTGCATAGTACTTTAATCCAAATTGGTGCATTTGGAAAATAAAAATTTTGTGTAAAATTTGAATATGTTTTCTCTGATCCAGAGTGTCCTTTAATGTTTTGTGTATCTGAAATGTTAAAAGCTATTATAATCATACTTAAAGGGAGACAGGGAACTGTAGAATCATTGAAATGATATTCTAGAAGGTCTGTGTTTTCATTAATTGTTGTATTATTAAATTTTCAGAAATATCGGAGGAGTGTTTTATTTCCTAAAATTGTGGTATCTGCCTTAACGGGCTTAGTTTTGTATTTGTGCCATGATTTTAGTTGTCTAATTACTGGGTCAAGATTTTGATATTGTTTCAAGATATTAATTGTAATTTTATCTGTTGGAGGGAGAAAAATGTTTTCAATTTCTAATTTAGATAAAGGAATTGTGTCAAGTGGGTCATGGAGGTCAAAAACTTGATTTATTGTGTATTTTGAATCATTTGTTTGTGGTCCTGATAAATTTATTTTATCAGTTAAATTTTGTTTTTCAATTAACGGAAAAAAGTCTTTTTTATGCGAGTGGTGTTTTATTCGTTTTTGTTGGGTGTTATTTTTTATCCATTGTGAGTATGGAATTGGTTTGAAAGTTGATGTTCCAAGTAGATCAACTACGTAGTGATTATTTTGGCAATCTAAGTAGAGTGGGAAGTGTTGTAGATTATTTATTTGTGATTGTTCAATGTCAGTTTTTACTGCATATTTGCATTCTTGTCGGGGTGATGTTTCGTCTTTTGCAAGGTAAAATTTTATATTTTTGGGTATTTCAACTGTAGTTTTTCGTGTAAGTAATTCAGGTAGTGTATTTCGACTTAATGTATCTGGTAATGCAAGATTCTTTCCTGCTGTCCAAACTATATGTAAGTTTGGAAATTTCATTAGAATTAATTGAAATCTATAAACTCGATGATTAGGATTTGACTTTTGTGTAAAGAGAACAATGATTGGTTTATGATCTGTGAATAGAACTGTTGGATGTTTTGATCCAAGTATCAGAAATTCATATTCTGTAAGTGTATAAATTATAGCTGTACATTCTCTCATTAGAGTTGAGAGTCGTAGCTCTGCTTGAGTGAATAATCGGGAATTTGCTGATATAAGGTTCATTTTATTTGTACCACTGTGTGATTGTAGTAATGCTGCGCCGATGCCAAAATTTGAAGCATCGCACTTTGCATAGAATGGTTGATTTGGATCTGGGATTGTGTTTGAAATTTGTTCAGTTAAAAGTTTTTTAATTTCTTCAAATCGTGTTTGATGTTCAGTGGTCCATTCAAAATTATTTTGTTGTCTGAGGATATTATAGAATGGTCTTAAATATAATTGCATTTTGTAAACGTACTTGCTTAAGAAATTTAACATTCCAAGGAATTCTTGGATTTTCTTTTTGTTTGTTGGTGGTTGAAGTTTTTGAATAGCATCAATGCGTGATTTTAATGGAGTGATTCTTTTATATTATGTCCTAAAAATTTAACTCGTGTTAAAAAGAAGTGTGATTTATCGGGGGCGGCCTTCAGATTTTCGTTCTGAAGTATTTTATGATAGTGTTCTAAAACTGTAAACATTTCTTCTTTTGGCTGTGATTGCATAAAAAACATCGTCTAAATAGGTGTTGAGGTTGGTTGATACGAGTGCATAGTCATTGGGTTTTGTGGTTGAATTGGTTGAAAAGATTGTGTATTAGTTGGATTTGGCATATGGATTGTTTGTTGAATTCGCACCAGATGAATTAGGTCCGATGTGGTTAACTCATAGAGTAATTTCGGATAGGGTACACCGTCTTCTCGTCACGCTATCTTATTTTCGGCCGGATAGATTCGTGCAACTTCTTAGTCTAATACCGATCCTAATCTTACTCTTATACTTTCTAGTCTCAGGGTGTTTAACTAGTCTCTGCTAGGCTCAATAGATCTAGGGTATACTGGTTTTGTTGCGGCTGCTGAAGTTCTCTTGGAGAGACAACTAATTTCTAAGTTAAATTCAAATCTCTCTGGTGCTGAAATTACAAGTAATTTCAGCACTTACAAATAAGTGGGTTGTTAGTTAGATGGATCATGATTGGTTAATATTAAATACTTTACAGTGGTAAAATATCTAATTTATCCAATCATAAAAAATAGTTTAGATCAGGTTCCAATATTACAGGAGAGTTTTGAATTGAATAAATTATGCATGATTGACATGAAAAAATTTTTGGACACCGAAATTTTACTGTTGTCTGCAAACAGTTTTATTTTTCTTACGCAATTTGTCTCAAACAATTTTAATCTCTCTCACTTTCGTCTATTTTTTTCTTCCGAACACTGAAATTTCAAAACAAAAATTTCCGAGTGCCGAGAAAAATCTGTCTGAACGAGCTCTAGTCTTATTTCCTGCAAGTAAATCGAACGAGAAGGTGTTATATAGGTAGAATAGTCGCATTCTTTTAATTAAGTGAAGTCTTGGAGTCTGAATTTTACTGTCGAAAAAGTAGTCTGCGTTTCTTTTAGCGCCTTCTTAAAAAATATAAAAAAAATTGTTTTTTTTTTTAAATTTTTTTTTGGAGGAAAAGTGTTGTCGAATATAGGTAATGTACTATTTTATAGATTATGGTTAAAAACTCTGGACTTTCGGTCAGATCTTCTTATTACTTTACGAATACAAACGACATAATCTGAAAACCGAAGGCATAATCACAGCAACCAGATATCCATGTTTAGTGTTTCTTATTTCATTCAGGTCAAGTGTTTGTGGAGAATTACAGGATGAAATGGGCTCAGTATGTATGCTCTTCTTTGTATGTTGGAGGTGGTTGTCCTTGGAAGAGTGCCAATAGTTATTCCGAGTGTGCACATTATTGCAACCAAAACCTCCTTACAGATGAGTGCTTGCACAATGCGGACCCAGCTACAGTCAAATGTGTTGCCTTTTCTTTCATAAACACTCTCAACTACTGCGGGTTGTCATCCAATTGTGAAACTAGCACCTACCGAATTCATACTTTTACTTTTACGAGGTACGTAGCCTTTTTCAATTGACGAACAAACATTTTTTTTTCCATCTATTTGCCTTAAGCTTCGGGGACAAATATTACTCAGAATATTTTCAGGTTAATAATGGGAGGTTGTGATCCAAAGGAAAGATATGATTTGTGAACCAAGCTGACTAGGGGATCTACCTAGCACTTAACATTTGCCCCCTTTCAGGAAAAGGGGGGTAATTGTTAAGTAGATTAAATTAGCCGAACTTTTGACCAAACAGAATTGACCACATTAGAGTTCTCTATAGAAAGCACTAGTGCTAACTGACTGTATTTATGTATAGGAGTGGTGATAACATTGGGGGTGAGAGATTGTTTAGAGATCCTGACTAACAAATCTAACACTTGAAGCTGTAATTCAGTTCGTTTAGTTTTTGCTGGTTTTATTTATGTTTATTGCTTATAAAAAAAAGTCGCAAATTAGACAGTTTTTGGGCTCAAATTTCGACTGCCAGATAAGTTATATTGTATCAAAAGCTTAACGCGCCAACCCTGATGAAGACTAGCGGATTTGTTTTTAAGTTAACTTGTAAAGACTTATCAAGTTGCGTATTGCTCTTTTTCAAATAAGATTTGTAATCTAATTTTTTGTTTCTAAGATAAACGAGTGCTTGTTTAGAGTGTGACAATGAGTTTCGTGACCCACGCCAGAAAAGTCGTTCTGTCTGAAACAACAACTATTGATGTCCAAAGCTCAAATTTAAAACTCGGAGAAACGTGATGGCAGGCATTTCTCTTTCATTTTAAATTGCATATGATTGTCACTTAATGCTAATTTATTTGATATATAGCAATACTTAAAATAAATTTTTTTGAAACTTCTAAGACTTAATTTTAAAAGTTAGCGAAGACTTTATGTTTATCAGAATTCCCAAAATTTGATAGTTTGTTTTCTCTCAATGAAAATACAGATTTAGGACATTCCTCAGAAAGAAAATCAAAATCAGAATTCAGCAGGGGGGGGGGGGCGGTGCCTGCTGACCCCCATGTATTAAGATAGGGAATAGAGCATCCGGTCAGCAGGCTGACCCCCATGTATTAAGATAGGAAATAGAGCATCCGGTCAGCAGGCTATGTATTAAGGTTGGGTATAGAGTCTACAATGTATTAAGATAGGGAATACCAATGGTAAGGTTTTATGGTTTGTGTGATGGTAAGATAATGGTAAGAAAAACGTAATTTTTTGGTTTTTGTCTAGTTTTTTTTGCAAAAATGTTGGCGCGTGTTAACTAATTTGTGAATATCGAAGGTTAATTACGTGTAGGTTGTGTAATGAAGGACTTTTGATTAGTTTTTTGATACATGGTAAGTCAATGGTAAGAGTTTTTGGGTAAAAACTTGGAATTTTTATGAAACATTTTTCAAAAAAACTTCAAAAAACGATAAGGTTAGCTATTATTTGACCTAATTTATTAAATAATCTTACTTTCTATCTAATTGAAACTATAATCATACTTTCCATCTAATTGAAACAATGCTGAAACCTACAGAGACCTCGAAAAAAAAAATCAAATTTTTTGAGAAAAAAAATTAAATTACAAAAAAAGTATATAAATCACTGCATTGTATAACAAGTTTACCGCAACATTTTACAGTTTAACATCATAAAGCCATTATAATACAACATCATGAATAAATTTACTTGACCAGATCAGTTCTTATAAGTTCAGTGGTTTTGTATGAATTCCATCATCTTGTACTTGTCTTTTTGGATAAATATAGCTTAGTCCTTTCTTTGTCTGTTCATATGTGGCCACCATATGATTTATAGTTCTGAATCCTCTGTTAGTAGATGTAAGATTAATTGCTTCATCAAGCAATCTCCTATACTTTGCTAAAGGTCCATCTCCAGAGTCTTCTAGAACCCGCTTATTCAATCCTTTGCTGCTAAATTTGAATTTGTCTGACTTGTTGTCATAGCAGCAATATGTCTTACTACATTAACAGAGCATTTATGTGCACCTAAATTCTTCTTTGAAAAGTCCCGGCTCCCGCTTATCATGTTTTTTATGGATACTACAACACGTTCGAGGAAAGAAATTAGATTTTGCATCCGCCTTGAAGGAATCTCTGCAATCACTCTCCCTCATTTTTTCCCAAGCAGCTCTCTTATCTGGCTGGATGCAATCGTACAAATTTTCTTCTGCAAGTGCCAAGTAAAGTGAGTCTGTGTCCATCTCCAACTCTTCAAATGTATATACATCACAGAACTTGTCAAAGAAGTTGTAGTAGAGTTCCAACATTCTCAGCTTTGCATACTGAAGTATGAAAAAACCAACGATGATGGGTTCTCTATGTTCAATGGTTAATTTCAACAACTCCACCTCATACAAGTTTTTTTCAACTGTATTCAATCTTTTGAACAATAGTCCATTGATTGATTTGTGAGTTTTTTCATCATTCAGATACTTCGTGATTGTATGCCTGGATCTATCCATGATCTGATATCCATAGGAGGAATTGCCCAAGAGCTTCATTGTTTCTGCTACAACTCCTGATAGAGGGTTTTCATCTCCTTCTCTTCTTGCATCAACCACCGATTGAACGAAATTTTTGAAACACTTCCGAGGAGAATATTCAACAAAACGATAAATTTTGGTGCATTGCAAGCCAAGTTCCAAATAAAAGTTGAAGAGAGGAGTTATAACTGTTCCATTTTCTAGCTTGAAGCTAGATATAAGCATTCTCTGTGGATGTTTCAACATTTCATTTTCAATAGCATAATTCTTCATATAGTCACCAATATCGTTTCTTCCAACCTCAGTGTTTTTGAAAATTGGAGGAAAATTCGCAAATTTCGATTTCAGTTCATCTGGAACAACTAAGTCACACTGAACGTAGCCAAAAAGAGATCCATCTTTTATTTTTGCTAGAAGTGAGTCTGTAGAAAGAGGTCTTTTATAGGTAAAATGGGTTCGAACATGATTTTTGATCTTGTCTTTGGTTTTGAAATTTTGCCACCACTCAGACTCCCACATTTCTTCCACTTTGTATCCTTTCTCTTTAATGTATTCTCGTCGCATATCATCCATTTCTCTCTTCTTGTTTCCTCGCTCAGTATCCTGTTCTGTTAAGGAGGGACGAGCTTCTTGACAAGAACAAAAGTGATAATAGCATCCCATTGCCTCGAATACTGTTTTACAGTGATCACAATAACCGTCCACATTAAAACAGTCAATTTTCTTCTGTTTTCCAGATGTAAAAAAGCTCTCAATTTTACATTCTGGTCTTGATTCTTGATAGAAAGACATGACCATATTCTCAAAGTTGCGAGTTCGATTATGTCTAGCCTTGAATTTCTGCATATCAGTGTCAAACTCCCATCTCGTATAAAGTCCTGTAGGCATATCTTGACACATTGAATAGGGGTAAAGCTGGCTTGCATCAATTCCAACGATTGATTTACAAATATTTGATGAATTTCTGATGTATGTTTCATCAACTACAGCTTTTCGAGTGAACACAATCGAAGGCCCACCGGTCATGTCTTCTCCACTTTTTTCACACAAATCTTTATCACTTTCGCAAAATGGATAAAACTTGTAATTTGTAGGTTTGTGTAGACATATGTTTGCTAGATTTGGAAGTGTACATCCAAGTTTCAACATATCTATCCCTTTGTTATGATAAAACTGAATCATTTTCTGCATTGCTTCCAGGGTTGGAACTACATCTTTGTTGTTGTACCACTGCAAAAAGTCTTTGAACACAGTCATTCCGTTTTTCTGCCAAGTTTGTTGTAAGTAACTGTAATTATCTAGACCAGATGGGGGTACAGTCTTGATTTGAAGCTTTTTCAGTGCTTGCTGTTCATCAAGTCCACTCTTCCTCAGTTTTTCATAATCAGTAAAGTCTTTGTCTAGAGGATTGTTGTTTCTAAGTTTACTGAAAAATGCTTCATATGGGGGCAGTCCTGGAAAATCAAGTTTGTCAGGGTTGTCAAACCACTCATAAGGAAAGAATCCTTTTGTTTCACTAGCTTTATAAGCTTTGAGAAATGAGTCCAGAGTTGTTGCTCCACCCAGAATTTTCATAATGTCAATAAATTGTACATCTCCAAACTTGAAAGATATAAAATCATTTGCTTTTTTGATAACGGATGTTTCTTGCTCTTTATCGCGAATCAAATAAGGGATTAAGTAGGACTTGATCAAATTTAAATCATATCTACACCTGTTAAATCCAAAAACAGGTAAAGTATTTACATATCTCTCCAGATGTTGTTTCAAATCAATGAGTTGATTTTTCTGAATTCGCAAGAATTGTGTTGACATATCTGCTTCTTCCGAATCTTCAATGCATTCGTCTTCATACTCGAACTTATTACTTGAATAATTTTTACCACGTTCGTTCAGTTGATCAAAGATCTTCTTCATTCTTTCATTGACAGCTACTTCAATATCTTGAAATTTTTTTCTCATTTCTAGCTTACTTTGTTCAGCCAACAGCTCGAGGTTGGATACAAAATCAATTATCAAGTTCTGTGGATCCTTGTTGTACAAAAAGATGGGTTCATCAATCAGATTCGATGATATAGAGACTGAAATTGGAACGTGTTTCCCAATCCACGTAGTAGTTTGCGTCTCTTTTAGTTCCTCTGTAGGAACACAAATCGACTCAAAGTCGAAAATTGCTAGATTATTGAAAAGCTTGTTGTCTTCAGAAACTGGAAGACTGAATCCTTCTAGCTTTTCAAACAAGGTTTCGCGAAGCTCATAGACGTTCTTTGGGTAAATATGTTTCACTCGGTCCTTGCATCTCAGAAGATGTTTGTTAAAATTGTCGGATTTATTAAAAAAATTGTCACAACTAGGACACCGGAAACACTTGAAGAAAGAATCAATATCTTTTGTATGAATGATATGATTGTTAAATCTCAGTAATTTGACTGTTTTGTCAAATCTTCCAATTCTTCGTCGAGCTAGTTCTCCTACATATTCTCCTTCTTGGATATCGAAATCGTATATAAAGATGTTCCTTTGAACAATTTCTTCGACAACAGGTAAGTCTTCTACAGAAACTCCACGAAAAATTTTAGGATCATAACCAGATTTTGATATAAAATCTGTAAAGTATCTAGAAGTGTGAGAGTCGAGATCTCTGTGTCCGTTCATGTACATTGCCAATGCGCGGAAAAGACACAAATGATCTTTGTAAGGTTCCTTGTCTTTGTTAGATAAAAGACAATTCACTTGCGTATGTCGTAATAAAGGTTCGGGTAAGACTGAGTCCGGACATCCCATGGGGATGTTTTTCAGCAAAGCAGCGAAAATTGTGACGTTAGTAATTAACTTGAATCTCCATTTTGTGTTTTGACGTTCTTGGGTACATTGCTCCACAATATCAAATTTTTCAACTTTTCCTTGGATTGTAATCAAATCCGCTTTCGTACAAAGTAAGTGGGATTTTTCAAACAGAAAATTGTTTTCATGAGCGTAGAAATAACGATATTCACCAGTCTCAATATTTCGAAGAACAAAACCCAGAGCAATGTTGATTTTGGCTTGTTGAATCGAGCTTGTTGAAGACTTCTTCAAGTTTCTCGTTAATGATTTTAGTATCTAACTTGGACATTTGGAAGTTAAATACCTTGTGTCTCCCTTTTTCCATCTCCGTATCCACCAGAAAATGTTGACAAGCACTAATTTCCTCCTTTAGTTTTTCACCATCTTCCCCTTCTTCCTCCACAATCTTGTTCAAGTCGGCCACCGTATCACTGGGTTTCCGT